GATTTTGCATATTTTATATACATATTTACATATAAAAAGATGGCACATGTTCCTTTGCCAAAAGAAAGCATCTGTTTTTAGGCTGATTGCACTTAGCATGAACATGGGCTTTCTTTTAAAGGAATAAATGCATTTAAATAGCAATAGCACTTAGACTTATATACTGTTTCACAGTGTTTTACAGCCCTCTCTAAGCGGTTTATAGAGTCAGCATATTGCCTCCAACAATCTGGGTCCTCATTTTACCGACAGAAGGATGGAAGGCTGAGTCAACCTTGAGCCTGGTGAGATTCAAATTGCCAAATTTCAGTCAGCTGGCAGTCAGCAGAAGTACCTTAGTACTGTGTTTTAACCACCGCACCACCACGGCTCTTTAAATTTAATTTAAATGGAAATAAATGCTATAGGGAAAACCTAGCACATCATTGGTGTTATTAGAATATGGATTACAATAATGTGTGAGACTAAACATATGGAAAAGAACAACTTTTCCAATCTTTCAATGCTAAAAATAAAATATTTGAGAAGTACACTTAGTAACCCCCAAAGAATCAATAGCTGATAGTAGTATTTATATTATCTTAGATATGGTTTATTTTGTAAAGTTGATAAGCTGCTCCAATTGAAGCTGACTCTTAAGTGTCTTAAGTGCATGACTCTCAAGCAGAAATGAAGCATTGGTTTATCAAGGAAATTAATATTCTTACAATTTGTTGTCTCCCTAGGACTGCAAAAATAGATGGCTGGAAGAAACTGGCCATCAAGCATTTAGCACAGTCTTTTTCCCCAGATACTTCATGATCAGAACATTCAAGATTCTTATGAATCACTTAAAATTATTGCATCAAGGCATAAATTAGTACAAATCCTGAACTGGATTATTTGTGATGAGGATTCAACCAGTACACCACAAATGCTTGGTCAAACAGGAAAACCAGCCAAGTCAAGTTGTTTACAGAAGCACATTAGGAACACTTGAAATACAAAGTCTCCTATTTGGAAGAGGAAAAATAAATCCCTGACCATCTTTCCTCAATAATCTGAAAAAAAAACGGGGAAATCTTAGAGGTTACTATGAAACAAAATGTATTTAAAATCTTTCTCTTTTGAAATAAGTCAGAAAAAAGAAGGGAAACTTTTATTCTGATATAGCAAGAAGGATGTACAGTATATTTTTATACAAGATCATTTGCAGAATGAGGAAATAATAATTCATACACACAATGCAGGTTAATCTCCCTGCCTGTAATTTTCCTGATAAAGTGGATTACATGTCCACCATTTCAAGCCAGCATGAGGGAAGTGATGGCAATTGTAGCGGAGCAGGGTGAAGAAGCAATTCAGGAAGAACAACTGTAAACATATCCAGCACTCCAACCCCCTACTGGGGGTAAGAGATGCTGGCTGGAAAATCTGAGAGTTGTAGTCCAAAACCAGTGGAGGGCTCCAAGTTGTGTTCTCTTCTGGCAGCATCTGAGGTAATTTGGGGAAGCTTTACATTGAACTTCATTTTGCTGAAAAAGGCTTCCTTCTGATCAGAAATTTATAGGATTGTGATCAAATCAAGCTATGGTTTTTGTGGCAGAATTCTATGCAGGATTATTTGGAAGTAAATTCTAGTAAAATTTGCTTTTCCCTTTCAAATGGCACAGATAGGAGTGCTCTGAATATTCATTAGTTTACAGTAAGTCTGATTAAGTAGTGTTCTGCTCAGGTCTTATTTCAAATTTCAAACGATCTATATTTCAAAGAGTTCACTGAAATTCTCTTCTTAAGTTTTCTGACAAACCCAAACAGCCCTCTCATTCATGTCTTATCCTTCTTTCTTGCGTTTAAGCAAACAATCTTAAGAGCTCTTCTCCCTGTTCTCTAAAGAGGTTGCTCCAGGACCAGTTGTAGGTCCCTTCATTCAATGCTGCTGTAACTTCAAACTGTCACTGAAAGAATATGAATAAATGGACACACAAACACGCATACAGGTAGTCCTGAACTTATGACTATCCATTTATTGAAAATTATAATGGCCTTGGAAAATGTGACTTACAACTTGTACTCGCAGTTATGACCATTACAGTGGCAAAAAAGACCCATTGGCAAAGCTGGATTTGTTTAAGAACCATGTGATTTGCTTAACGCCTGTGCTGATTTGCTTAATGAGCATCATTAAAAACCATTCTAAATTCGTGTCTGATTCGATTTGCAATGACTTGCAATGAAAATTCTGGTCTCAATTACAGTCATGAGTTGAGGACTAAACTGTATATTCTTCCTAGCATTTTTTATGCAATTGCAGTTTCCATTTTTTTTTTTTGATCAACCAAGTTACCCAAAGAGATACATAACATTTTGGGGTGTGATGACGTTTGATGAAAAAGCAATAATGGAATGAGGTTAGGAATAAACATATTTACAAGCAATGTACACAAAATTAAAGCGATCTAGGCTGGTCATCCTTAATCAAATTGTGTAGAGTTTTCCTATTTACAGTGTAAAAAATAATGTTCTGGCTATATTTCCAGGCAGGAGATTAATTTGGAATGTTGAATTTGGTAGAAGAAAGATGAATTTCTTTGTGCACTGGGCAATATTCTTCTGTGATTTTACACTATAACAAAGTGAACATGATAATCTAACATAATCCAATTCATACCTCAAACAGCAGTAGTGGATTAGAAGGCAGTAATGAGAGTAAAAGATCCCTGAACAGTCTCTATGAATAAATATTTTGATTTCATAAAAGCTGATGAGTATTTTTACAAAGAAATCTACTACAGGTTTTTTAAAATTCATTTTGTACTCCAATACCCCAGTAATGAATGCAGATTCATCTATATTCACCCTCCTGTATTTCAGCCTTAACACTGAGCACATATCATTGGCTATGAATTACCTTCCTTCCCTTTCATTATTCTACTTGACATCATAAATATCTAGACTTCAGCTTAGACAAGTATCCCTAAGTCATGGAGATGATCAGAGGAAGCTCCAGCTAAGTACACACTGGTGGTTTATGCTGAGAGTAAAAACTTAATGCAAGCATTTAATTGCCTACAAAAATGCCTACACTTTATTTCAGCTATTGGTTGGAGAAGCAACAAAAGTATAAACAAAAATGCAACACATATCTGTGTTTATCCACTTCTTCCCACTTTTCATGCAGATCTGAAATCAGTGCTATATTTGACTATTATTAATTTGGCTAAGAATGAGAAAATGTGAAGGAGAAATAATAAAATAAAGCACACATAAAAGCCAGCAAGTGGTATATTTCATGCCCAGAGGAAAAGAGGGTAACAATACCAGGAAATGCAAGGTTTTGTTTTACTCTATGTTCAATTTTTGTCAGTCTTTTAGTGAACACTGGAGAAAAAAAGAAAGCTTAAAAAATGCCCATGTTGAAATGGTATGAATAGATTGACTTAGAATTAAATAGCCTCAATTTATTTATTTATTTATTAAGAAATTTTATATGACCACTCCACTCACTCTTGGTAATTCTGGGTGGCTTACAATAAAACTCCAATACAAAACCCAATAACTCCCTACCCCAGTCAATGTTCAAAATATATACAAATAACATACAATAGAGAGCTAGAACTGAGTGAGAATTGTGACAAGGAAACCAAAATGAGGCCCCACTTGAATATGCATGTTCTAATCTTTCATCATTCAAGATTTCATGGCTGTTTATTTGTCAATGAGAACTCTTTCAGATATGCATAGATTGACATTAAGTACTATGAAAAAGAGCTCTTTATGAGAAATATTCTGAATGGCTAACTCAGCCATGAAAGTAACTTCTTATCTGATGATCTTACATAGACACAGTATAAATCGGGATCTTCTTTAGGAAAATGATATTGGATATTTGCTGATGAACTTTATCACTGGGAAATATATTCTTTTGAATAAAGAAAATACATTTTTTTCAGCACTATATATTAACAATATTAGGATCTTGAATAAGAAAAGAGACCATAAACTGGATTTCATTATAGCATTTGCCAAGTCTCCAGTGAATCAGGACTAAGGAAAAAAATAGCAAGGGGATTTTTTTTTAAAAAAAATCAACCCATATTTATTGCTTTATAAATAACTCAGGGTGTTGAATATACTAATACTTCCTTCACCTCCTGTTTTCCCCAAAACAACGAATTCTATGCAGTGAGTGAATTGGGCTGAGAGAGAGTGACTGGCCTAAAGTAACCCAGTCTGCTTTCATGCGTAAGGCAGGACTGGAACTCACAGCCTCCTGGTTTCTACGCCAGTGCCTTAATCATTACACCAAAATGAATTTCTTGAGTTTTTATAGAATTAGAATTTATCTATTTAGAAAATATATATGTCTGCCCACTCACAAACAGCGACTCTGGGTGGCTTACAAAAAAATAAAAACCCAATTATAACAATAAAAATAAACAACATACAACAATAAGAATTCAGAATTACTAGCAGTGTTAGTCAACAATCTCAGTCAGTCCGAAACAAGAATGAAACATCTAGCATCTAAGCAAAACAATATATGACAGTCATAAATATGATTCCCAATTGATGCAGATATTAATATATTACATGAAAGAATACCTATTCCAATATGAGTTTTGGATACTGAGGGTACCTTCACATATTTAGATTAACATGTGAAGCATGATTATCTTAGCTGTGTTTTCAGTGACAATAAGTGGCAGCAAGAAAACATGGTAACTTATTCCATAACACAAAATTAATGGTTTTAAATATAAAGGTTATCAGATGATAATGTCAATGATTTACTTTCAAAAACAGGATAGCATAAGTTCTTGATCATTTCCACATTCAGTGTTTCATTAACAAGTATGACACATAGTTCTAAGAAAAACCATTAATCCCTTTCCTTGGTATAGCAAACATTTGACCATGTTAACAGTTCTATTGCACTTCTGCAACCTTGCTATCATAAAGGTAATCAGACAGTTTTTATAGTCTGTTATGCAAGTTCTCTTGCCCAACTCAATACTTACAATCCGAGGTTTGAAGGGTGGCTTAATTTTCCTTTGTTCTAGAAGAACCCAGTCAATTTCTTTGAAGAACGGATGCTGTTTAATGGCATCTTCACCGTTCTGAGATGCCACACAGCCCAGGCGTTTGTTTGGGTTTTTTGTCATGAACTGCATGGAAAACAAATAACCAATTTCAGTTACTGGAAAAATTATATAAAGTGGCAAGACAAACTCTGGGAAAAGCAGAAACATCTTGCAAAATATTCTATTTGCGTTAGTCTTTCTTATGCTTTTCCTAACTCAGTAGAGTTTTGAACTTTCTATTATTATTCTATGGTAACTGTAGTTGTCTTTATTGATCTGAGGTAGACCATTTCGAAACATTATACAGTAATAAAACCACAGCAACTCTTAAATCAGGTTAATATGTACTTAAATCAATGTTATGTTTTACTGTGCTTTTTAATGCATTCAAATTTATATACAAGGGGTAAAATTTTAATATACGAATGAGTCAGAAAAAAGAGTACATTTGGCTAATATAATAATCTAGACTATGATCCAAATGCTGTGCAATTTTCATAGACAAGAATTGACAGATTCACTAAATATTCCAAAACTGAATGTCACCATTTTACTACTCTATTAATGGGTACATAGAGAGCATATTGTTTGATCACTGAGAATGTAAACCATTGACAGATCTATAGCGAAGGAATAGAGAAAGGTAGAAGAGGACCATCGGAAACAAAGCAACCTCTTGTATTTTCTTTTAATCGAGATGGTGAGATGGTGAAATCCAAGCTGAACTACTCACAAAAGAGTATACTATGTCATTTAAAACTGGGGCAGAAATACAGTACATCTGGGTATAACAAATGGTATAGATGAAATTGTTGGTTCAAGAAGATTGATACGAAGACTCAAAAACAGAAACCACAGTAGAACCAAAAAACATTAACAGGTGTTGTAAAGGGGAAAAAAACCAGGCTATTTTTCAATTAATACAAATACATTTTAACCAGCACAAAATGTGTTTGGCCCTAACAGGATTGAAACGAAAAAGCTACTATTTTAGTAACATCAACAGAAGGGAAGCAGGATTGAACAGGAGAATCCTTAGAGAAGGGCTATCAAATTCCTGGCCTGCGGGCCAGATGCATTATGCATTGGCCACGCCCATTCCTGGTTTAGCAAAGGGGGAAAAGTCCTGATATGTCACGTGATGTCACTGTGACGACATGAGTTTGACACCCTGGCTTAGAGGAATGAACCTTAACTACAAGCTTGGTTAGCATTCATCATCCCCTTGAAATAGAGCAATAAAAAAAAAATGGAACAGCCACAACACTGAATTTTTTCTTTTTTAACGTGTGATATGGCTGATAGAATATGCTATGCTTACATCTAGCACTTTTTATTCAAATGTGAGTTGGGAATATAAAGTGCTGGAGCATGGAAGAAATACCTAATCAAAGAATTTTATTCTTAGTGAATTGTGCCTTTTAAACATTAAAATGTCAAACAGATCCATCCACTAACTATACCGTATATTAAAGAGGTAATTGAAATCCTTGTCTGTTTCCATGATATCTGGCAAATAATTATTTACATTAAAAATATCTTCAAGAAAATGATGTTACATCTAAACAGCCCCTGCACAAGAGCAGCACCTCTCTGCTATTCATCACATCAGATAGTTGTTTTTTATGCTTTTGTATGAATATGAAAAATATTCCAGACAAAATCTGGAAAGCAACTACAAATAATATAGAGCATATTGTTGAGGGATCTAGGAAGTTCCATTTCTTATTTAAAGTATTCAGTGATAAGAGCAAAAATCTCAAAATATTTTTCATTATTACAATGATTGCCAACTCATTATATACACCACAAGTATATGAACTGATGTGGATACTTTTTGGGAGAGGACTGAACTTTTTTTAACAGAAGAGATGAACTAAGATTATTGGTGCAATAATATTGCTGGATAAAATTCCCAGTCTTTCTTCCCATTTCTGAAAGGCTTTTTGTGCCCCTCCTACTCTCTTGACGAGTTAAACCAATCCAAGCTTTAATGCTCTTAATTAAAAAAAAATAAAAGTAAAAATTCCTACCAATAATTGATGGGAAATTACACTAATGTTTGGTTGTTTGCCAGCAAATTTCATTGGTACAATCTTAGTAGTCTCTGAATGCTGCAAGAAAGGTGATAGGGCAGCTTATGCATCTCACTTGCCAAGACCTCTCATAAAACCTGTATTTTAGATTTCCTTTAATCAGAGAGGACGACAACTGAGCCTACGTTTTTTTGGAATGCAAAGTATATTTTCCACTGCCAAGCCTAGGCTCCTTTACTTCTCATTTTGTCTTATTTTCAAGAGAACTAATATTAAGTTTTTAAAAAGTAAAAGGGTTTTTGAATGCCACAAAGTCATAAGATGTGTAAACATTCTAAAAATTCAGAGTGGTATCTTTCACAAAACCTCAGAAATTAATATGTTCTCCATCATCCAGCACTGAAGATCAGTTCAGAGAAATTAAATCCCAGATTTTCCACTGTTGCTCCTGCCACCCTCCCCAAGTTTCAAAATATCTTCAGTTTCCAAGTCTGGATATTTTTTGTTTGGAAACTGTAAATAAATTGCCACATAATAGTGCAATAAAATAAATAAAATTGAGTAGAAACCAAAAATCATTCTGCCAAAGCTACTCAAAATACTTTTAAAAATCTTAACAGGATTCCAATTTAAAGTGCCTGAAGAACAAAGCCCTCATCTAACAGTACAATGTAAGGAAACAAAGTGTTCCAAAGCTAATCCCTTGTTAATATTCGGCAGTCAAGTACATAGACGCCCCTCCATTTCCTCTGTTTTTCCTGCTCTTTGGTTAATTCATATTGCTAAAGAACAAGATGAACAGCCCAGGTTTCAAACATTAATCTAAGGCTAAAGCTCACCCCAGAGAAGTTTTCTTTCTGTTGTCGTAAGATGCTGTTTGCGTGGTGGGTGGGAAAAGCCCTCACATTATTTCTCTTCAGAGTAAGAAATGCGGTAACAATCAATATGTGTTTAAATGACTTTATGGATGAGTCTTCTTCTCACTTCCATAAATGTCTACAGAGGAGACCTTCCCCTATCAATAGATCTCCATACCATTGAGGATCCCAATTCCCCAGAGTCTTCCCTCTCCTAGAGACCTTCTATAGTTAGCAGAGGTTCAACCTTCTAAGAATTCACTATCTACATACAGAGGACAGAATGAAGTGGATGAAACCAGCATGCTCATTTCTTTCTCCTCGATGTGTCAGTGAACTTCATTGTGAAGGGCTTATTTCAAAATTTAAGTAACTAACTATGAGGGGTGATCTTAGCTATCATGCAATTAAGGAAACAAAGGCTATTTCAAATTCTATTCCACATATTCTTCACCTCCCAATAAGTTCCTCCAAGATTCTCTAGGCTGATTGTACTCTATACCATGGGCATAATTTTACTGGTATTTACTAGCGAAACCGTTGCACAAAATATCTCTATGATAATGAATGGATTGTCTGACTTTTGCTGGATTCTAAATAGGAACTTTCCTGGCTTTATGTTCAGGTAGAAACATTAGGTTTGCAGCAAGTTTTTAGATTTTCCAGTACAAATGACTACATATTCAAAACTGTTTTTTATTTTAAAAAACCAATAAAACATAACTGGATGTGGACTATCAGGATATAAATGTTCAAAGTCCAACCTCTCAGAAAACTGATGTGGTTATATTCCCATCCCTGGACTGAGTTCCCATTCCACATACAGCCTTTTTTTAGCTACAGTACTTTGGAGAGATTTGCCCACATAATTTATTTTTACTAAACAGTTCTCACTAGCTTGCTAATCTTCCACCCTTTGGCAGCGTTCTTTTCCACTGCCAAAACAACAGGCAGAGTTGTTTTGTCAGTGTAAGGAACAGCATGAGGACAATTAAATGTATATTTTATAGATGTTACAATATTTTATTTTGAGCAAAGTGCAGTGTTACCTGTTTCAGGGAATTAACTGGGAATTAACTTTAGGTTAGGAACTCATCCATTAAACGTAAATCCCTTGTAGAACCCACTCATCTTAAAATAAAGATATGAAATGTATTGAAACTATCTTCATCCTTATTTTGCCACCTTTTTCAAAAAAATTCTTCAAGATCAAGAACATTCTTTGAATGCTAATCAATAAATTCTAATTGACATTTGCCCAGAAGCAGTGGTGGTAAGAAACACAGGATCATCTGCCAGAAAAAGCAGCTGACTTTTAAGTCAGCATGATGACGGATCAGCATGTCATTTTGTTAAATATCTTTTGGATTGGGGCCCATCTGTGTGGGACTTGCATCCACAGTTGCATAATTCTGTCTTCACTTCAGCCAAACATATAATCTGAGTATTCAGCTTTATGAGGCACTCCAGTTTGCTTGTGTTTTTGGTTCTTCCTGAAACATGATTCTCTCAAGTACAGGCATGTATACAGATATACAGATACAAAGAACACAAACATTTTGTCTCTTTCCCACAAGAAGTTTAATTCATCCCAGACCCTTGTATACGGACAATGGCACTCTGAACTATACTTGAACTCCCAAGGGTGGCTGTTTCTCAAATGTTCTAGGAAAAACTAAAATTTAAAAAGAAAAATAGATAATCTTACAGATTTCAAAATGCTGACAGCTTCTTTGCTAAGCCATACTGGATATAGCACATCATCATGTAGGATAGACTCAAAGAGGTCATCTTCATTATCAGCTTCAAAGGGAGGTTGTCCAGCCATCATCTCATACATGAGAACCCCCAGGGCCCACCAGTCCACGGAAGGACCATATTCTAATTCCTGGAGGATCTGTTAGGAGAAATCAAGAAAAAGAAAGAGAGAAATCAATGGATAAAAATGCACAATGTGGACAATTCATATTGCCTGCTATTTGAAGAAAAAAGAATGCAGAGAAGAGCAACAAAGATGATTCGAGGTCTGGAAGCCAAACTATATGAAGAACGGTTGTGGGAACTAGGTATGCCTGGTCTAGTGAAGAGAAGAACCAGGGGTGACATGATAGTTGTCTTCCAATACTTGAGGGGCTGTCATAGAGAAGGGGGGGGGGTCAATCTATTCTCCAAAACACCTGGCGGCAGGTTAAGAAATAACAGGTGGAAGATATTAAAGGGAGATCTTACTTAGAATTAAGAAATTTCCTGACAATCAGAACAACTAATCAATGGAACCGCTTGCAATGGTTGTGGGTAGAAGTTGTGGGTGTTCCATCACTGGAGGTGATAGAAGAAAAGATTGAACAACCATTTTCTTGGAATGGTACAAGGTCCTGCTCAACTAGGGGATTGGCTAAAAGACCTCCAAGGTCCTTTCCAACCCTGTTTTTCCATGATTTTATGAAATTATTTTTTAAAGCCAGTTTTAATGAAACTCACTTGGACCTTAAATTAAAACCTGTAAATTCTTTGAAAAAGTTTCAGTGTGACACAATGTCTGCCCATTGTTTATCAGTGAGAATGTTATTCTACCCATCCAGTATACTCATAATACACTAAAACTAGTTGTATATCAATGAAGCTACATGAAAGTAGATTTACACAAGAAAAGAAAAAGCAGTTCTTCACTTAGGAAACTGTTAACTTACAGAATTGCCAATCAGATGATATGATTAAATCTGATGATGGACATCACCTAATTCTACTCCAAATGAAGCTAGCAAGTTCATGTGAAAAAAAAGATTGAAAAGTCAGTGATCCTTATGAGTTATTCCTGTCTTTAGAGGCAGAAGTCTGCTATCAAACTCCTATCATGGTTGTAAACTTTACTGTCGTTGGCTGTAATATGAAAAAATACTAGAAGAGATAGGCCTTCATTCTGCTCCGACAGTGTTTTTCCTGTGTTTTATGTGTTTCACAAGATGGAATTGTTTTCTGAATGGTACTGGAAAATTTGTATGGGAAGTACCCATTAATCCTTTTTTTTTTTTACCAAGTTCCTATTGTGATGTACTACAGTCATCATCATATTCAATCCCAAATAGGATTACATAGAAAAAAATTCAGTTTCAGTTTTTCTTGGAGGGATAATTAAACTAGCATCATAAAATAGAGTTCTATACACTTCAATGCATACTGTTATACCTCTGGAGCTATGTAATCAGGTGTTCCACAAAAGGTAGTAGTTGTTACTCCATTCAAAATTCCTTCCTTGCACATTCCAAAGTCAGCTAGTTTGCAATGGCCTTCTGCATCCAAAAGAATGTTGTCCAGTTTCAGGTCCCTTGAATAAGAAACAATCAGGAAGCTCTTAGCAATAAATAAAAGGAGGAATTAATGTATTCACTGTGAAGAGAAACCTTTGCCATATTCTAATAGAGAGATACAAGTTTTAAATAGAGAATGTGGAGTACTCTCAAACCATATCTTACTTCATAGTATTTTAAGATCTTCCCAAAGAAAAGTGTGATTTTTTTCATCTTTTCTACAAGCAAAGTGCATTTATCACTTTTGCAGATGTCACATAAATATTTGATATGATCATCTATACCGGGGTGTCAAACTCAAACGGCTGCATCAGGGTTGTGTTTGATACATCTAATTTCATTTTAAAAATTGAGCATTTTTTTTAACACTTTGAAGTCAGAATTTTATGAGCTAAAAGCTTCATGAAATCTGCTCAAAAGGAACACCCAGATATTCTATTAATTGCAAAAAATATAGCACATCTTTATCAAATTGTGCATTTCAAGGAGACCCTAAGAAAACAGATGCTAACACAGTTTTTACATGGTATAAAGGTAAATAGATTTCTGTAAATTTGAATGTAAACTTTCTATTTATTTACAGTTCTTTACATAATTTAAATAAAATCATGAATATGACAGATACCAAATTATGAATAACCTTTCAGTATGTTGTAAAACTTCTAAACATTTCCTGTAGCACAATAAGAATTTTTCTATCCTAAGAACAAGTCAAAGAAACAATGATTGCTTGGGGGAAGAATTTTGGATATGGAATTGATCTAGAGAAATGGCAAAAATTGTGGTCTCAAATTATAAAATGACAATGTCAACAGCATATAAAGAAAATTTGTATAAGATGTTTTACAGGTGGCATTTCCCCCCAACAAGAATAGCAAGAATGTTCAAGAACAAATCTGAAAAATGTTGGAAATGTCATCAGGTACCTGGCTCATATTACCATATGTGGTGGACTTGTGCGGATGCCAAAAAATATTGGACTAAAATCCACACATGGGTAGAAAAAATGACAAAAAAGCATATAGACTTGAAACCAGAGATATTTTTATTGGGAATTTTACCTGAAATATATAGTAAAGAATTGAAATATTTGATTGTAAATGTATTAACAGTGGCTAGGATTGTATTTGCTAAAAACTGGAAAAATGAGAAGGAGGAAGCTATTAAGAAAATATTGGAATGTGCTGAAATGAGTAGATTGACATTTGAAATCAGAGAACAAGAAGATAAACAATTTTATAAAATCTGGGATCTATTCTATCAATGGTTAGACAATAAAACATGGTAATGAAATATGCAGATTTTTAGAACATAATGAATATATAAAGATGTATTTTATTATATCTACAAAATGATTATGGGATAGATTTGAGATGATAATATGAACTGTCATAAAACAAATTAAGTAAAATATGGATTACCTTGTAAAACATGAATGAATAATAGTATAGTCAAATGATTGATTAACAATGATATTAATGTATTTAGGAATATTTGATTGACAATATGAGAACATATACAATGTAATTGTAATTGAAGATTACGAAGTGGAAGCACAAAACAATTTGTAAACCAATCGACACACTGTATGCACATATATGGAAGATGGTTTGATGTTTTTATGTTGTGTTTATGTTTGTTTTAAAAACAATAAAACTTTTTAAAAAAAGAATTTTTCTATCCTTGCTTATCATTGTCCCCTTCCCCAAACCTTCCTTGCAGAATTCTTCTAGCTCAGAAATATTCTTAGATCTCTTTGCATCCACTGCATATTTGAGGTCTCAGTGACATTCAAATCTAGGGCTGTGAAGGCCATTCCAAAACATTTTTTTTCTTTTCCTACAACTATTTTAAGGTTGAAATAGTTTTCAATTTTAATTTCTTCACTGGATTAGGACATTAACTTCAAGGATAAACTGATATTCTTTCCTTCCCTTCACACAATATTTTCTCTGCCACTGGCTGCCAGGAAGCCCCAAAATACAACAGAACCATCGTCATGCTTCACGATTAGCAAGGTACTCTTTTTTTTAAATTTCACCTTTTCTCTCTGAATGTCATCTTGTGTAGTTGTGATCAAACAGTTCAAATTTTGTTTCATCTGTCAAAAACACCTTGTCCAAAATGTTTCAATTTTATCACATTTCATTGGTATATTATTTCCCTGAATGTGGTGCTGTATATTGTTGACAAATACCAGTCTTTAAACCTGTATCCACAAAAGCACATAAAGCTGGTAGCTTAGAAAAAAGTAAAAACTTTTTCAAACATTTGGAACTCAAAAGAGACAGGCTTAAATAAGCAACAGAAAATTCTGTTCACTGAACAATTTCAAATGATAACAAACAATAGTTTATCATTTGCTTGAAGTGGTTGGGGTAACTTCTATGTAGGTGCCATAATGTTTTTATTTCTTCTTTCTGTCTTTTATAGAATATATTATTTGATATGCTTTTGGTAGTCTATTTCTCCATTGAAACTTTAGTGGGTTTAAATAAGGATAAGATGAATTTATCCAATGATAACTTTATCTTTAAAAGGCATTTTGCCATTTTATTAGCTAAAAAGGTATCTGACTATAAGCTGTCTTGCTGTAATTACAAAGCAAATAAAATAAAAGAAACGAGTAGAGGCAGTGAGGTGTAAGTTAATTTTCTTCTGTGCCAGAAAATCAAAAAACCCATAATCCTTTGCAGTGAAACAGCTTATCTTTTATTTAAAAAATGACACACACTATGGAATAATGGTATGAGATTTTTAAACTACAGTCTGATCAAGTTCGAAGATTGAATGCTTAAAAAGGAAGATTAGACAGGTCTTCAGAGACTATATTTATTTATAGACATTATTGCTGAGTTTACATCCAACCCAGTTGTAAAATTTAATTCAACTTATCAGACATACCACAGCTGGTTCAGTGCTTATTCAGGTATTCTCAGATAAATGTCAATTGAATGTATCTTGTAAATAAAATAAATACAAGTGATGAAAAAACAACAACAACCATACGGACTAACTGGGTTTCATGAGCAAATTTATCTCAGGTCATATTTTCTAGTTAGTCACTCTTTAAGACATGCGTCTTCAAACTTGACAGCTTTAAGACTTGTGGACTTCAACTCCCAGAATTCCTCCCCCAGTCATGTTAGCTCAGGAATTCTGGAAGTTGAAGTCCACAAGTCTTAATCTTGCCAAGTTTGAAGACTCTTGCTCTAGGAGGATATCAAAGGTCACTGTGGCTGGAGATGACAGCAATTGAAACCCACCACATTTCAAAAACATCAAGTTAGTGGAGGTGGCCTTACATAAACTAGAGTGTCCAGGAATTTTGAACTAGGCTGATTTTATCTAAACTTTTAATGAAAAAATACTGAAAACAGACCATACAAACTTTCCCAAGTTTCATACTGATATTCTGTTACATGGAAGCATACTAGCACCTTGTGGGATACTATATAGAAGTGGCCAATGTGTCAAATAGAATCTATTCAACATGACCTTCTAAAACTGCCTTTGGGGAAATGCAGCAAAATATTATTCATTTTCTTTTCAGAAGGCTGAACTAGTAGAATATGATTGGTTAAGCACTAAGAAATCCAGCCAAACTAACAGAATTACATTCTCCTTGTCTAGTTCCCACCACAGATCCATCTAGGTGACTAAAGCTGTCTCCTTCATATAATTGGATGCAAATCAAGACTGAAATGAATGGGGATTCATCTTGATTAATGATCAGTTATCAAGATAAACTCCTAACACTCTTAAGAGGCTCCTTGATAAAGACCTCATCAGGGTTCTTCAGAAGAAAGGTAAAGAAATTAGACAGAAATAGACAGACAGGCAGACAGAGAAATAAATATATAAGAAAGTAAATCACTTTGAAGTTAAGGGAGAATCTTGACTAAAACACAAACTGCATTGGATGGATCTTGACTTTGAAAATACCCTTTACTTCATATGGAGATGTGAAAGCATTCTAGATTTCCTTTTGTCAAACGAATTTAACTTTTGTATTGTAAAATTTTAAAACATTTCTAATAAAGAATGCCAATTCTTAAATAAGACTACATATGGATGTCAATCTGAAAATTCAAAACAGAAGGTATTTAAGATATCTTTTTTTGTGTGCATGCAATAGATACTTTTTGCCCAAGTGCTCCATTCACCTAGGAAAACAGTAAGAAACCAAAAATCTTGTTATAGTGAAACACTACAGGTAGTCCTCGACTTGCAACAGTTCATTTAGTGACCAAAGTCACAAAAAAGTTTTTCACAGTTACAACCTTTGCAACATCCCATGATCGTATGATCAAAATTCAGATGCTTGACAAGTGGTTCATACTTATGACCATTGCAGTGTTCCAGGGTGATGCGATCACGTTTTTACAACCTTCCAACAAGCCAAGTCAATGGGGTAGCCCGATTCATTTAACAACTGGGTTACTAATTGATCAACTGCAGTGATTCACTTAACAACTGTGGGAAGAAAGGTTGTAAAATGGGGATATAACTCACTTAACAAATGTCTCACCACCACCAATGGTGGGCTCAGTTCTGGTCGAAAATCAAGGATTACCCTAATTACGTTATTATTGTTTCCTTTTCTTTGGTCCAGTGTGCATGTTGGTAAAAACCCAAAACTCACAAAGTAGTGATGGATTAAGTTACCAAAATTATTTTGTTCCCACCATACTATCCCAGGCTAAAAAAGGGGAAAAAAAACTCTCTCAGCTGTGCTCTCCAGAGTATCCTCAAAAGGAAGAAACAGTTAGTTCAATAGTATTTCCTCCCCCAACAAATTTTTGCTATTGAAGGAGAGACTTAAAGAGATTTTTGCAATGAAAAGTCTTTCCATGGGTAAATAGAACTGACTGTTATGTAAGAACGGTTATTTATATTATTTATAGAACAACGTATCAAATATGTTGTACCATAATGAACTGTTGACATAAGTACTACTGGGATGAAGCTTTTAATATCCAGTAGTAAAGTTCAGGCTCCTTTGCTTTGTCTATGT